ATGTATAAACATAAAATTTCTTAAAATAATTGTCGGACTTTGTCCATATCATAATACATTTTATCTGTACTTGAAGGCATACAATTGTGTTCAATATATATGTAGTTGAGGCCATAAATTTGTGTTCAAAATATTTATATTGCGGCATTATGAAAACCATAGAGGTGTTGATATGCTGCTAAACAAAACCAAGCAACCAAACCAAAATTAACCTATATGGAAGAAAGGTAATGTGCGTTTTGTAGGATCGTCAGGGTATTATTCGTTTCTAAATCTTGGAACGCTATGAAACAACAAATACACATTGATACAGGTTCATGGTCTTACTGGGATTTGAAAGTTTCTATTAGTGTTTCTTTAAATTTTGTCATGAAAAGCTACTTAATATTAACGGTCATTAGATGTCCTTATTACACATCGTTTGATTTGTTCCTAAATCTTATTGTCTAAACGTCACTATATTGCTTAGAAAATGAATCGTACAAAACCATTTTATATCCTTTGGTTCGTTTGTGAAAGCAAGGAAATGTTATAGAAAAAAAATAACCTACACAGAGACATACAGGGTGCCTATAAAGTCTCCTTACAATAAAAAAAAAATTATGACAAAAGCAAATGAACAGACAAATAGGTGAAAATTGTTACAAAATAAAGTATAGATATTGTAGCTTTTTAAATAATTTAATACCCCTCTGTATGGTCACTATTAGTAGCAGGAAATACATCAAGACGGTACTGGATTGCTTACCATGTTGGCTGTAGCATAGCCTCATCGATAGTGGCAATGGCCTCAGTGATTTTTTGTTTTAGATCAGTGATATCCCGTGTCTTTGTGGATACAGGATATTTTCAACATAACTCCATAAAAAGAAATCCAGAAGGGTGATATCTGGTGAACGAGCTGGCCAGGGAATTAGACCATCTTTTCCAACCCTTTGGTCTGGAAATGTTTGATTTAGGAGCCCACGTACATGCAGTCCCCAATATGCTGGGTGAATGTCATCTATTTGTGGTGCCGCACCATTTGCCTTTGTAGTATTTTTCTTTAAAAATTGTAAAGAGTTTTATGCACACCCTTTTAATGTATATATTAAGCTCCGAAAGAGACGGGTGAAATGACTGCAAATATATCCTTGGCAAAACACAGGAAGAAAGATCAGTCTAAAGTTATCATCTTATTGATGGAATTATTTCACGGAGGAGGTGGAGAAAATAATTTGCTTCCGTTTGTTCTGTTTTACGGCATATCAACACCTCAGTGGGTTATTTAATGCCGACAAGATTTTTATTGCTGGTGATATCTTTTTTTGCTGGTATTTTTTTTCCTTCAAAACTCTATTTCTGGTAATATTTTTCTTCAAAAATATATCGCTTGTAATTTTTTTTCAAAGAAGTATAGCTGCTATGACCTTTTTTTTTCAAAAATGTATTGCTGGTAATAATTTTTTCTTCAAAAACATTGCTTCTAATAAGCTTTTTTTTTTTAAAGTATTTCAGGTATTAAACCCTATTTTTATACCTTTTTGACCCCAGATTGTTGGTTAACTATTTGCCCATATCTGGGACGGTAACAGGTGCTACCAACCCGGGCCTGGGTGGAACAGGGAGCACCAGCAATTAGGAGGTTGTTCCACGCTCCTCAAAACTTCCTGCTCAGAGGTCTTGCTGCTGGACGTAGTTTATCGTCTTACCCAGGACGCGGGTTTAGTTTATCGTTGGAGAATATAAACTTAAACGCCGTTTATAATGGTACACCTGGGAAAACGCTAGGTATATATTTATTACAACGTTTCGGCCTTTCAGCATCTGTCTATATTTCTCAGATGAGGTATTATGTACACTATTTACATTATTCGGGCTATTGTTCTCATCTTTGTTGCCATATTTATTATAGATTTATTAAAAATGAGGAAAATACTCCGAATAATGTAAATAGTGTACATAATACCTCATCTCAGAAATATAGATCTCAATAAATATATGACAATAGTCCGAATAATGTAAATAATACCTCATCTCAGAAATATAGACAGATACTGTAATATATATGGCGACAAAGATGAGGAGAATAGTCAGAATAATGTAAATAGTGTACATAATACCTCATCTCAGAAATATAGACATATACTGTAATAAATATGGCGACAAAGATGAGGACAATAGTCTGAATAATGTAAATAATGTACATAATACCTCATCTCAGAAATATAGACAGATACTGTAATAAAAATGGCGACAAAGATGAGGACAATAGTCCGAAAAATGTAAATAGTATACATAATACCTCATCTCAGAAATATAGACAGATACTGTAATAAATATGGCGACAAAGATGAGGAGAATAGTCAGAATAATGTAAATAGTGTACATAATACTTCATTTCAGAAATATAGACATATACTGTAATAAAAATGGCGACAAAGATGAGGACAATAAACCGAATAATGTAAATAGTGTACATAAAACCTCATCTCAGAAATATGGATAGATACTCTATTAAATATGGCGACAAAGTTGAGGACAATAGTTTGAATAATGAAAATAGTGTATATAACAACTCGTATCAGATATATCGACATATAATGTAATAAATATGGTGACAAAATGGGGACAATAGCCCGAATAATGAAAATAGTTTATATAATACCTGATCTCAGAAATATAGACAGATACCTATATATTTAAAAACATCAGAAAACTCAAAAGTATTCCGGTAAATTCGCCTAAATATAAGATTTTGAGGCCAGATATAGCATTGTTACATTATCTTTTAACACTCAGAAACGAGAGGTAAACAAAAGAATTAAAATAAATTACGGTATATTATGAGGAAACAAGAACAATATGAACAATGGAAATAACCACGACATCATACATATGTGTACACACGCACACGTACAGGATTACACAAAAAAAGAAACATAGGCTTCCTGAACCTTGTTTTGTTATTGTCCATTTCTTCACGTCTCCCCACTAATGTCACTTCATTCTCTTTCACACCATGTAAACCCCCGCGTTTTAGTGACATTATCGCTATCCATGGAGAGACATGATTTTTAAAAATAGATATATCTTCTAATTATTGTTTTTTTTATCCCTTACCTCAACAGAACGTAAATTGTCGAGACTTACCAAACGTGTCTATTTTTATTATGCTCTGACTTCTTGTGACAAAGATATTCCTATTGCTTTCTTAACGTTTTAAATTTAAGAGTTATTCGACTGAAAGCTAGGTCTGCACTAACATCTTGACATAACTATCATCTGCAAGAATACAGAAAGTATTGTCATGAGAGAAAAAAAAAGCCCAAGAAGCGAGTTACGAATTGCAGGTGTCAACATGAAGCAAGTACAAAATTTTAAATATCTGAGAACTGTTTTTAAAGAGTATGGAAAAGGCGACACCGAAATACTATCAAGCAGTGGACTAGTTAACGATTCATTCCAAAAGTTAAGCGACGTGCGAAGAAAAAATAATTAGAAACAAAGAAAATGGTACAGGATGCGATATCAATCGACTTGTATAGCAGTGAATGTTGGGCAATGTCTCCACATTTGAGATAAAAGAGGGAAGCAACAAAAATGTTGTTCTACAGAAGGATACTAAGAATTCAATAGAAAATCAACGAGGAAGTCTTAACGAAAATTTTAATAAATAGATCGTTTATACTCTGAAATTGGGAAGAGTTAGTTGAAATTACTCGAACACATAAAGAGGAAGGGAGGATTGGAAATCTTAACACCTACAGGGCATACTGAGGTGATGGTAACGAGCACCTACCTGACGAGCTTATGTGAATGGATGATGTAACGGGGAGCATGAGCCTTAGCAGAGGGAGAAAAGTTGCTAAGGGCCATGAATTGATGGGTAAATATAGCGAGAAATGTTCGCCCATGTTCTGGAGGGACACAGCACAACGAATATGACGACGACGAGGACGACGAAGAAGAAGAAGAAGAACAAGAAGAAGAAGAAGAAGAACAACAACAACAAAAATAACAACGAGAACAACAAAAAGAAAAAAAGTGCAAGAAGAAGAAAAAGAACAAGGGGAAGAAGAACAAGACCACGAAGAAGAAAAAAACAAAGATGAACAAATAGAAGAAGAACATGAACAAGGTCAAGAAGAACAAAACAACAAGAACAAGAACAAGACGAAAAAGAAAAAAGAAGAAGAACAACAACAACAATACAAGAAGAGGAACAAGAACACGAAAAACAAGAAGAAGAAAAGAACAACAAAACGGAAAAATAAAAAGAAGAAAACGAGTAGAACAAGAAGAAGAACAAAACGAAGAAGAACAACAACAACAAGATCAACAAGAAGAAAAAGAACAAGAAGAAAAATAACAAGATGGAAAACAACAGCAAAACAAGAAGAAGAAGAAAAAAAAGAACAACAAGAATAACTAGACGATAAAGAAGAAAAACAAGAAAAACGAGAAGAAGAAGAAGAAGAAGAAGAAGAAGAAGAAAAAGAACAAGAACAACAAGGAGAAAAACACGAAGAAGAAGAAGAAGAAGAAGAACAACAACAACAAGGAGAAAAACACGAAGAAGAAGAAAAAGAACAAGAAGAAAAAGAACAAGAACAACAAGGAGAAAAACACGAAGAAGAAGAAGAAGAAAAAGAAGCGCAAGAAAAACAAGACGAAGTACAACAACAACAAGATCAACAAGAAGAAAAAGAACAAGAAGAAAAATAACAAGAAGAAAAAGAACAACAAGAATAACTAGAAGAAAAAGAAGAAAAATAATAAGAAAAAAACAAGAAGAAAAACACGAAGAACAAGAAGAAGAAGAAGAGCAGGAAAAACAACAAGAACAAGACGGAAAAGAAGAAGAAGAAGAAGAAGAAGAAGAAGAAGAAGGACAAGATCAACAAGAAGAAAATGAACAAGTAGAAAAATAACAAGAAGAAGAAAAACACCACGATGAACACCAAGAAGAAGGGCAAGAACAAGCACAAGAAGAAAAAGAAGAAGGAGACCAACAAAACTAGAAGAAGAAGAAGAAGAAGAAGAAGAAGAAGAAGAAGAAGAAGAAGAAGAAGAAGAAGAAGAAGAAGAAAAAGAGAAACAAGAAGAAAAAGAACAAGAAAAAGAAAAACAAGAATAATAAGATATTTGCCTGTCTCAACGACATATGAATGCAAACCGCCTCGGCTGAAGATTGAACTCCTTCTTCACATAACATTTTCCATTGCGATAACCGTTAAAAAAACACACACACACACGCAAATAAACGGGTTGAATTGTATTCATTTTTCCCTTTTTATATTTATCATCTCAACACTTTATTAGGATCTGCCATTTGCTGTGACCTTTATCAGTGAATAAGCCTCGCTATGCGCATGCGTCTGGCGGTTGTTATGACAACAGGTTTATAGCAATCTATATAATTATGTGTATTTTTTCAGGCAAATAAAATGAAAGGTGTCGGTTAATTAATTAAATGAAGAGAGATCGAAATAAAAGAGAGAATGCTGCAGTGAGAAATAACTATGAAATATTCATTGAAATTTTCAGCAGATAATAAAAATTTCATGGCCAGATTCGCATTATGCAAATATTGCTAAACAAAGATAACAATGACATGGATAGGAAATGACTTTCTTATTCAAAGCGAGAAGAGAATATTGAAAATGCCATAATCTATCTATCTATCTATCTATCTATCGATATATACATATATATATATATATATATATATATATATATATATATATATATATATGTGTGTGTGTGTGGGTGTGTGTGTGTCGTTTCCTGTTTGCATGCGCGTCTGTGTATATAAACATATCTAATTATCTACATGAATATGACAGTTTAAATTAGTCTATAAATATCCGTATATATCAGTATATTACTAAACCAGTTTATATCTATCTCTTTCTGTCTCTCTCTATATGTATATATATATATATCTATATATATATATATATATTACATATCTATATTAGGGACTTTATCATAAATATACACTTAAGACATATTTCTTCAATTATATATATATATATATATATATATATATAAATTATATATTATTCACATCTATCTCTCTGTCTATAAAATATAGTACACCTATATATCATATATATATATAATATATATATATTATATATATATATTTCACACGCTCTATCTCTGATATTGAGGACTTTTATCCCATAAATATAGTACACCTTAAGACTATATTTCTTCATATATATATATATATATATATATATATATATATATATATTCACACGCTCTATCTCTGATATTGAGGACTTTATCCCATAAATATAGTACACCTTAAGACTATATTTCTTCATATATATATATATATATATATATATATATATATATATATATATATATATATTCATATATATATATATATTTATCCCATAAATATAGTACACCTTAAGACTATATTTCTTCATATATATATATATATATATATATATATATATATATTCATATATATATTCACACGCTCTATCTCTGATATTGAGGACTTTATCCCATAAATATAGTACACCTTTATATATTTCTTCATATATATATATATATATATATATATATATATATATATATATATATATATATTATATATTCACGCTTACCTCTGATATTGAGGACTTTATCCCATAAATATAGTACACCTATATATTTCTTCATATATATATATATATATATATATATATATATATATATATATATATTCATATATATTCAAACGCTCTATCTCTGATATTGAGGACTTTATCCCATAAATATAACACCTTAAGACTATATTTCTTCATATATATATATATATATATATATATATATATATATATATATATATATATATATATATATTCATATATTCACACGCTCTATCTCTGATATTGAGGACTTTTATCCCATAAATATAGTACACCTTAAGACTATATTTCTTCATATTATATATATATATATATATATATATATATATATATATATATATATATATATTCATATATATTCACACGCTCTATATCTCTGATATTGAGGACTTTTATCCCATAAATATAGTACACCTTAAGACTATATTTCTTCATATATATATATATATATATATATATATATATATATATATATATATATATATATATACATACGCTCTATCTCTGATATTGAGGACTTTATCCCATAAATATAGTACACCTTAAGACTATATTTCTTCATATATATATATATATATATATATATATATATATATATATATATATATATATATAATTTCTTTTCACGCTCTATCTAGTTATATTGATATGACTTTATATATATAAATATATATATATATATATATATATATATATATATATATAGTACAGATATAACAGTATATATCAATACAGAAGTATATATATATATATTATACTTCTGCTATATACTTAGCCATTATATATATATATATATATATATATATATATATATATATATATATATATAAAGAATATAAATATTTGTGATTTTTTTTTAATAACCAAGATAAATTAACTTAGATTATTTGATTAAAATTGCAGATAACAATAGTGGAACATGCCCCGAACCAAAGGAGCCTCAGATCCCTCTTTCATCGTATCGTGGGCCAACATGAAGGTGGTCTTAGTCAAAAAAAATATCTGAAAATCTTTTTCCCTTTCTACTGTTAAATATCGTACACCAGAGAGGGCAAGAAATGCACAAACCTCATCCGGGCCGCCATTTGCGTCTTGTCGAAAGAAATGTTGAACAGGATCCATATAACATATTGATATATCCCATATATCTTCATATATATATATATTCAATATCAAACGCAGAAAGGATTGGGCCCATGAGATGGTGGAGAGACCTGTGACCGTTTGGACCACTGTCATTTCTCTGATGAGTCAAGATTCGCATTATTTTCCCATAAATATAGTATGGAGACTCTGTAGTCAAGAGTTTGATTTAAAAGACTATATATATATATGAAGAAATATAGTCTTAAGGTGTACATATTTATATAAAGTCCTCATCAGAGATATATATATATATATATATATATATATATATATATATATATATATATATATATATATATATATTCAGTCTTAAGGTGTACTATATTTATGGGATAAAGTCCTCAATATCAGAGATAGAGCGTTTGATATATATTGATATATATATATATATATATGAAGAAATATAGTCTTAAGGTGTACTATATTTATGGATAAATCCCTAATTATCATATATATATGAAGAAATATAGTCTTAAATATATATTATATATATATATATATATATATATATATATATATATATATATATATATATATTCACCTTAAGACTATCCCATAGTACACCTTAAGACTATATTTCTATATATATATATATATATATATATATATATATATATATAATTTCTTGTCTCCTATATCTATCTAGTTATATCTATATTTTATAATGTATTTGCATTTATCTATATGTGTGTAAATATATATATATATATATATATATATATATATATATATATATATATATATATTAGATATAACAGTATATATCAATATAGAAGTATATATATATATATTATACTCTGTTTGCTATATACTTATATATATATATATATATATATATATATATATATATATATATATATATATATATATATATATATATATATATATATATACAGACATGAAAGAATTGAATAGACACCAAGATAAATTTTATTTGTGATTTTTTTTTTAATAACCAAGATAAATTAACTTAGATTATTTGATTAAAATTGCAGATAACAATAGTGGAACATGCCCCGAACCAAAGGAGCCTCAGATCCCCTCCGAATTTCAGCGAGGACGTATCGTGGGCCAACATGAAGGTGGTCTTAGTCAAAAAAAAATATCTGAAAATCTTTCAATACCCCTTTCTACTGTTAATAGAGTGATCGTACAATTCACCAGAGAGGGCAAGAAATGCACAAAACCTCATCCGGGCCGCCATGGCCCCTCTGAAAGAACCATGCGTCTTGTCGAAAGAAATGTTGAACAGGATCCAAGTTGCAAGGCCTCTGACATAGCAACACAAGTTGATATCAGTCCCAGAACAGCTGTCAGGTATCTTCACAAGCTGGGCTACTATGGCAGAGCTACGAGAAGGAAACCACTTATCCGTCCAGCCAATATCAAACGCAGAAAGGATTGGGCCCATGAGATGGTGGAGAGACCTGTGACCGTTTGGACCACTGTCATTTTCTCTGATGAGTCAAGATTCGCATTATTTTCCGAGTGGAAGAGTATGGGTATGGAGACTCTGTAGTCAAGAGTTTGATTTAAAAAGACTGCAGCCAACGGTGAAACATGGGGGCCTTTCAGTAATGGTATGGGGTGCAATTTAGAGTGATTTGCCACTCAGAGCTTGTGGAGTGTGAAGGAAACATTAATTCAACCAAATATATTTCTATATTAAAGAAAGGGCTCCTTCCAATATTCTCAAGTAGTAGTATGAGCAAAGTTGACTCCCTATTTATAGAAGATGGAGCTCCATGTCACACTGCTCAAGCAACGCAACATTGGTTGAGACAAAATGGGATCAATAAACTTCCATGGCCAAGTCAGTTCCCGGATATTAACCCTATTGAACACCTTTGGGGCATATTAGATTGAAAACTCTACAAAAAGAACAGGAAGCCATCTTCTAAACCTGAACTTTTAGGATTATTGCGTCAAACGTGGCAAGAAATCCCTCAAGATGATATTCGTGAACTCATCGCTAGCATGCCTGGAAGGGTCCTTGCATTAAAAAAAGCAAAAGGGATGTCGACCAAGTATTAGTTATTAAATTTATGACCTTTTATAATTAATTCATTTGTATAAATTAATTGTTTAATAAAATAAACGGTTTCTGTGAGCGTCTATTCAATTCTGTCATGTCTGTATATATATATATATATATATATATATATATATATATATATATATATATATATATACGTATGTGAGTGTTTGTGTGCATTATAGGATGTTATATTGTTTATATATATATGTATATATTTTTGGTAAAGTCCGTTTTATCTATCTATCTATCTATCTATCTATCTATCTCTCTCTCTCTCTCTCTCTATATATATATATATATATATATATATAT